AAGATTCTAGGTTAATAGTTTTTATTTTTTCATTATTGAAAAAATATTCCACTTCTGTCATTTGAATTGTTTTTACTGTCTAGGTATATTGTCATTTGCTAGTGGTTTCAAGATTTTTTCTTTGTCTTTCTTTAGTCTTCAGAAGTTTGTCTATTTTATGTCTTGATGTGGACTTCTTTGAATTTATCATTTTTTAATATCATTAAGTGTCTTGGATCTGTAAGGTTTATGTGTTTTGCCAAATTTGGGGAGTTTTCAGCCCTTATTTCTTTAAATGCTTTTTCATCTACACAGTCTTTCTCTTCTTCTGGGATTCTGATTACATGAATGTTAAATATCTTATTATTGTCCCACATGTTTCTGAGGTTCTGTTAATTTTTAAAAACTATCAGATTGTATTTCTGTTGTTTTGTCTTCCAGTTCATCAGTTCTTTTCTCACCACCCCCCTCCATTTTGTTGTTAAGCTCATCTTTGAGTGTTAATTTTGCTATTGTTTTTTTTTTTTTTTTTCACTTCTATTTGGCTCTTCTTTTCTGAGACTGTTTCTATGTGGGATTTTCTCTTTTCCCCCCATTTGCTTCAAGTGTCTGTTATTGCTTGTTGAAGTGTTTTTATTTTGGCTGCTTTAAAAATTTCAGTCAGATAATTCTAACATCCTTTATTTAATTGTTTTCTTCTATTTTTTTCAAGTTGAGGTTTTCCTGGTTATCACTGTGACAGTTGATTTTTTTTTATTAAAATCTTTTGAGTTTCATTGAAAATTTTGGGTATTATTAAACTCTGTATTCCTTTTTAAAGTTTCTTTTAGCTGACTTCCTCTGACACCACACCAGCGGAAAGGCCTGGTACTGTGCCATTGCTTCCAGGTGGGGTTAGATGTTCAAGTTCTTCACTTGGCTTCAGTTTACATCTGGATGAAGAAGGATTCTCTATTTCTGGGTGAGGATGGGGCTCTGGCTCCCCACTGGGCCTCTGCTGATACCATCCTGGCTGGAAGGGGGTAAAGCACCATATTACTTCTTATGTGGCTTCTAGTGACATCATTGGGGGTGCCCTCATTACTGCCAAGCAGTGGTTAAAGTCTTGACTTTCCTCTTGGCCTCCTCTGACATATTAGCAAAGATGGGGAGGGGTTCTTTTTATTGTAGGGAGGGGTGAAGTTTAGGTTCCCAGTGTGTGGTTTCTGCCTACACAGGGGTTGAGGGGTGTGTAGGGAGCAGGTGGGACTACCTAGCACCCAGTAGAGGTGAACATCCCAGATCCCCATAAGTCTTCTCTGACACCAATAGGGATGGGGGCCTGGGTCCTTTATTTCAGCCTGGGGAGGGTGGAGGTTTAGACTCCCCACTTGGCCTTTGCTGTCTTGGGTGGATATGGGTTTGCAGTGTTTGGCTCCAGTTATTTTAGGCAAGCAGTTACTGCCTAAAAGTTTTCTGTCCTGCTAAGCTGCACCTTAACTACTCCTTTGGTTAGAAAAAGTAGGCTTTAGGGGAGCCTGGGTGGCTCAGTCCGTTGAGCGTCCAACTTTGGCATCAGGTCATGATCTCACAGTTCGTGAGTTTGAGCCCCACGTCGGGCTCTGCTGACAGCTCAGAGCCTGGAGCCTGCTTCAGATTCTGTGTCTCTCTCTCTCTGCCCCTTTCCTGCTCATGCTGTGTCTCTCTCTCTCTGTCTCTCAAAAATGAATAAATGTTTTTTAAAAAAAAGCATGCTTTTCTTGGGACTTTTTTGGTCTGTGCTTGTTGGTCTTTCCAGGTTGCCAACTTCTTCAGCACCCTTTCTGGGATATATGAGGCAAAATAAAAATTCAGGGGCCTCACTGCTCTGTCATTTCTTGGGTCCCTAACCAGTTTTCTTTCTTCTCTCTACCTTTCAGAGTCTTCTTATGGTTGCTTTATACAAAATGTCAGGTTTTTCATTGTATTTATCAAGAGAAAGAGGGAAAAGTAGGTCTACTCTGTCTTCCTGGGAGCAGTAGTCCTGAGATGTATCTTTATAGTGTTGGCAGATATCACAGTATGTTTCCATGCTGGCCTGAATTCTTCACGAGAGGAGAATTGCAACAATACCACTGAGTAGGTGAGAGTGGGAGGGCTCCAGTGTACCTAGTAGGGTTGCAAACTGTTGTGTACTTGGGAGGCTGGACATTTTATTCTCATTCCTACTAGTTTTGTCAGTGTGCCAATTCTGGGACTTTTGCTATCGGAGACATTCATCACCTTCACTGTTCTCTGCTTTGAATCTCAGTGTCTGGCTCCTGCTTGGGCTCCCAGGTCAGCATCTTCCTGCTGAGTTTGGCCAATAGGAAGCTCTGCTGGGAGATTGAGGGATGGGGAGAGGTAAGCTGGTACTTCTTACCACTCCACTCTGCTTTGGGAGGCATCTCTTCTGGCACTCCACCTTCTTTCAGAAAGGCCCACCATGGTTTCTGCACTCACCTTCTTCCTCTGCTCCTCAGCTATGGTGGGGTGGAAATTTCCCCACTGTTGCTAATTGCTAGCCTTTGGTGAGTGTCACAGCATGTCCACCTCTTGTGTAACCAGTTTCCACGGTTAGGTCTTCAGCTTCTATTTCCTTCTTGGACCCTGGTTGATTCAGTCAGTGAAGGAAGGAAGAGGCAAAGGCAGCAGCTGAGGTTGAAAAGGAGGGAGGGTGTATGGGATTTTAAGGAGGGAGATGGAGGAGAACAGGAATGAAAATTGCCCTGGGAGATGTGTTAAAGTTGTTGGGCAATTTTAGGACCCAGTAGGAACACTGCACACGGAAGTCATGTAAAACTGTCAGGACCACAGAGGGTTCTCTATGGCTACATTCAGCTGCTTAGATGCTGGCACAGGGAAGGAAAGCCAATGTTGGGGGTTTTGCCATGGGTGGCAGACAGACCCCAGGGTAGCCCCCATGATCCCTACTGCCTGGTGGTCATGTCCTTGTGTGATTCCCTCCCCTGAGTTAAAGGTAGGCCTTGTGCCTGGCTTCCAACCAGTAGGATATGGCAAAGGCAGTTGATGGGATGTCGCTCCTGTTGTTGTGTTACATTATGTAAAATTTTGCCTTGCCAGTGGATTCACTCTGGAGACTCATGGTTGCTTGATGAAGTGAGCAGACATGTTGGAGGAGTCCACATGGCAAGGAACTGCAGGAACCTGTAGAAGGTGAGGGTGGCTTCTGAGAGCTTAGTGTGTGGTCTCTAGTCCACAGCTAGCAAGAAGCCAGAGCCCCAGTCCTGTAGGACCAGGAAGTGAATTCTGCCAACATTGAGTCATCTTGGAAGCAGATTTTTCCCTCGTTGAGCCTCTAGATAAGAAAAAAAGCCTGATGACACCTTGAGATCCTTAGAAAATGACCCAGCTAAGCCTGCCCCAACACCTGACCCACAGAAACCCTGAGCTTATAAACATGTGTTGTTTTAAGCTTACCAATTTTGTATTAATTTGTTATGCAGCAATAGAAAACTCACACATCAGGTGAGCTTGACAGAATGAGTTGGGGCAAGTAGGAGGAGAGGGTTTGCTGGGAAGAGGAGTGGGGACAGGGGGTGTTTGGCTGATGAAGAAGCAGAGAAGCTCCCTGCCATTGAGGTGATCACATAACTGAGAGTCCAGGGGGTGGGAAGCATCATCTCTGTAGATGTTGAAACCAAAATATGACAAAGGTAAAACAAGACCACAAGCTATGATTCAGATCTTCAAAGAATGAAGAGCTATGACCAGGAAGATATTAGTTGTTTCAGTAAGGGGTTGGTGGGGCATTCCAATGACATGTTCTAAAGCAGCTGGAATACTTTAGGGATGGGAGAAGATTGCAGTGGAGAGCAAGGAGGATACCTTTCCAAACTCTTGGTAGGGCTAACTACATAATTTATGGAGCCCCATGCAAATGAAAATGTAGGGCTCCTTTTTCAAAAAACAGGAAAAGTGTGATGTTAAGAGTATTAAAATGTAAAGCTTTTTCCTTTCTTCCACACTCTTTTTCTTGACTTGTCACAGTATTTTAAAATGTCATTATTCTAAGGAAGGAAAAATTAAAAATCTAAATTATTAGCATGAATGTCATCCCTGATCTTTATTTTGAAGTATAATTTTAAATGCAAATATGAGAGCATTTAACTTGTAGGTGGAATCAGGAAAGTTGTACAGTTTGTATTTTGCAGTTCATACATGCATGTGGACTTTGTTCTTACCAGACAATGGAAGCATTGCACTAAACTAATGTAAATGTATTTACTTTACTTTTTGATACAGGCATATTCTACCAACACTCCACCTTCTTCTTACTGATGAGTGAGTCACAAGGAGTGGTGAATCCATGTATTGTACCCATTGAACCCATAGTCATGTACATTGCTTCTCAGTGTTGCAAATCCTGCTCAACCAAAGCTCACAACGAGTGTTGGGTTCAAAGCAACCATTGAAAGCAAACCATTCTGCTGCAAATCAAAGGTTATTGCTGGGGTTATGGGATGCTAGCAAATGTAAAAGAATAAAATTGTAATGGTTAGAAATATAATCCAAGAGTAGGACATCATAACCTTTTAATTTTACTTTCAATAAGCAGTTGTTTTCATTTTCATAGCAGGTATTATTTTCTCATTACAAAGGTATTAATTTGTTAGATGCAAAACCCATAAAACCATAGCATAGACAGGAACAAAGGAGAAAGCCCCCACCATCCAGAGGTACTCATGTTTCAGAGGCTGAGTCTTTTTGGCCTTCTGTTCTATGAAAATGCTATGTATATATTTATATCAAGAAAAATATCATAGTTTATCAATGTTTTTTCTGTATCCTTAATTTTCCCCCATATCAATCAATATCCTTATAGAGCATTTTAGTTGAATAGCATTTCATACTGCACACATATTACAACTTAACTAATGCTTCAGAGAGAGACTGCATGGATTCCATATGGATTCCCCAAAGTGCAAACAATATTTCCAGTTTGCTTTTCATCAACAGTGGTTTCTTTCTGGCTGACCTGGTGAGAAGAGTGACAACGGAACATGCATCTAGAGAACAAAGATGGTGGGCTGACCTCTGGTGTGCTGGAGATGGAGCTACATCAGTCATCTGCTCCTATGTGTGCTGGCCTGGGAAGGCCAGGGCTGGCGGTACCTGCCACCAGCAACCGCAGGCTACTGCAGGGAGTCAACAGGGTAGACCCCACATCCCCCTACTCCAGCAGGGCAACTGGGCAGAGCTGCTTGGCTTCTGTGGACCAGGATTTTGGTTCATTCCTCACAGAGCAGAGGTGAGTTTATAATAGTTTTATCTGGAATGTGGAAGTCACAAATATTGTGTTTTATGAGTGTAGTTCCCCTATTTTTTGTGGGAAATTTTCAGATATTATACAAGGAATGCAAGAATCTTTCTATCATTAGATCACTTTCCTGACCTGTTTCAAATGAATGCTCTTTCTAAAATGTAGCTAACATAATTCCAAAAGATTATAAAAATAGAAAAGAATTTTTAGCATGAACTTGGAATTTATTATATTATTTTAAGGCGTTAAAAGTATTCCATGATTTTAAAAAGCACATGCTGTATCCTTATATGCTTATATATATGTATCTTGAAATATGCTTTATTCCTATAAATGTCAAGTGAATCATTTCAATATTGTTTTTCACGTTAGAAAAATCTTGATTTACATTAAAAAAACTTTTGATAAACCCTTAAATATTTACCAAAGTAAAATAATAAATAGGTATAAAAGTGTGCTATAAGTGTCTATTCATACCCATGTAGGGACATACTGGTTACCCTGCAGATCTGGGTATCCTGGTCCCTATAGGCAAGAAGTCCTGCTTGGGGCAGTTGCTTAGCCAGAACCCATGCAGTACCAGTGGTCTAATGTTGAAAAAGGCAAAGATCACAGAAATACATACAAGTGTGGTATATAGCCCTGCCACTTGTCTGAGACTGCCTTCTCAGGTCCTAGCTCTGCATGGCATCTGCTTTGATGCTTGGGAGTTTGCTGTCATCAGCATCTTTGGCTCAAGCTGCTCCGCTGCTGTGTTCCTGTGAATATAGAACGTTGGCACAGTAGGTGTGTGGGGATGGGGAGAGGTACCTGCCCATGAGTGTGCCTCTCTGGAGCTGAGTAGGGGATTGTCGGTGCCTGGCCCACCTGAACCAGTAAAGGGCTGCAGGTATGCTGGGGCTGGGTCCACTTGTCAAGGCATGCGCACAGGGCTACCTAGCGCATGGGAGAGCTTCCCACTGGGCTGGGGTGGGTGGGCAGCTCCCAGCTGTGAGGGCCAGCTTTATTTTGTAAAGGGCTAGAGGAGGCCATTTCCTGTTTGTGTCCCACACCTGGAACTGTGGGGGTGGGGCAGCTCCTTACCTGGGAGGCCCTAGAGAGATAAAATAAGTTGGCCATGGCTCCAAGCCACACTCCACTACCCCAACTGTGCAGGCAGCTAGGAGCAGGCAAAGGAGAAGGGCCCCTCCACCACCACCCACTGCCTCAGGTTGGCTGAGGCTGGGTGTGAGGCTGGCTTTCTCACATCCTCGATTGACTGTATGTAGATTTACACCTGGATATAGGAGAGAGCTATGGGCTCCACCTGAGTCAGAGTAAAAGGACAAATCTATATACAACCATATCTCAGAGATTTTCTGATTAGGTTCCAGACCACCACAAGAAAGCAGATATCTCAATAAAGCAACTCAAATGAGTTTTTTGTATCACAGTGAAAATAAAAGTTATGACTACACTATACTGTAGTCTAATAAAGTGTGCAATAGTATTATGTCTACAAAAACAATGTGTATATCTTAATTAACAAATACTTTATTGCTTAAAAATGGTAACCATCAAAGATGGCTGAGAAGTAGGGGAACCTGGATTTCCCTTGTCCCTCAAACACGGCTGTATTGAGGTCAGATCACTTGGAACACCCAGGAAATCAACCTGCGGAGTGGCAGAAGGATCTCTGCAGGTGGAGGGAGACATTGGAGGGACTGAGGTATGTGTATATGAATTGGGGGAGATAAAATGGCATAGGCAAGGTGGGGAGGGAACCCCTTTTGTGAACAGACAAAAGGGAGAGAAAGAGAGAGGGATTCAGTATCTACTTAGCATTAGAGGAAAACCTCTCCAGACCATGGACTGGGAAATGAGAAATATGGAGAGTGCTGGTTTCCATTTTGCAAACAGCCTTAGGAGCTGAAACTTAGAGGTATGAAAGTGCCCGACTTTCTCTGGACTGGAGCCGGCTGTGTATGCACGCCTGGCGGGAGAAGGAGCCAGCCCAGGGTGCTGTAGCAATCTCAGGTGCTCACTGGGAGAGAATAGTCCCTTTCTTGCAGTACTGTGGGAAGAGGATTTATTGCCTCCCCAGGACAAAAGACCCTTTGGTGGCAGCCAAAGGCCTTTTATCAGCAGGGCTGAGGGGCCCTACAGCTGGACAGGGTCCCCACAGTGCAGGACCGTTTAAGACATCAGGGTTTGAATCCCAGTCGAATGCCTAGAAGGCGCAGGAGAACTGTGGAGCAGGGCAAGCTAACTGTGCTATTCTGTGATGGCTGCCTAAATAGCATGGTTTGAGACCCCCCGGTTGGGAGAGAGTTTGGAGTGTTGGCCATTTTTCTCCCAAACACCAACATGGAGGGACTTCAGGGAAGCAGCACAGCAGTCCCCCAGTGGAGGCAGGCTTACACCAAACCCCGCTCCTCCATGCCTGGCAACTGCTTTTCTACTGGAGCTAGACTGACTGAGCCAACGCAGCCAACCTCTCCTCCAGGTCAGCATAGCCACTGGTCCAGGGCACAACCAGACAACTGTTCTTTGTTTTTGTCTGTTTGTCTCTCTGTCTGTTGGTTTGTCTGTTCTTCTATTCTCTCTGCCTTCTTCTTTTTTTTCTTTTGGAATCAGGCTCATAGTTTCTGATTTGTTTT